ATATTTACTTATTGTCTTTTTGATACAGGGTCTCACTATGTAGTTCAGGGTGGCCTTGAGCTCACCTTGCAGTCTGGACTGGTCTTGAACTTGCAGTGATCCTCCTGCCTCAGCCTCCCAAATACTGAGATTACAGAAGTGAACACCAGACCTGGCTTGAAAAAGAAATGTTAGAATCAGGTATTTGATCTTCACTTTCACTAAATACAGATACTAGCTATGATTTTCCTTTTTTTTTTTTCACTTGAGTATTGGTAAAAAAAATAAACTACAGTTACAATATCCTTTGAAATCCCTAAGAATATTGTACATTCCTCAGAAAAAAAGTATCTCACATTTGGATGTGGTAGACAAACCAACATCCAATGCCATGGATTTCCACTTTTGTGTAATTTCTCTCTATTGTGTAGAAATAAATGCAGCAAAAAGTTAAATATGGCCGAGGTGAAGGAATATCCATTGGTGTCTACATTGTCTCTTGAATCCACCTAACAAAATCTAATACAGGCTCACCTTGCTAGCGTGGTGAAGTTAGTTTATCATGTGGAAGAAGTTCATATGACAAGAATCCGCAGTTTTCCTCTAAGGAGCTGCTTGTGTTCTCGCTGACATAAGGGGCCCCACAGGTTTATGACTGGCAGAAGTCTTGGGACTCTCAGCCAAGTATCCATATAGAAATGGATTCGGCTAAAGTAAGAGCCTGGCAATGGATTCTTTCCATCGAGATACCACATAAAAAATGACCCAGTAATAGTATCTGAATAGTAATCTCATGAACCCGGGAAGAAAGACTCAGCTAAGACACATTACTGAATCCAGATCCTCTGGATAATAAATGCGTGTTGTTTTAAGCCAGTGAGACTGTGTAACCCATGACACAGCTATAGAAATTAACACAGTGTTTTGGGTTCTGCAGATCTAGCTACCATCCACTCACTGTAGTGTCTTGTGAGTACACTAGAAGGCAGGCACTCTTCTTGGAAAAGACACGGAAAGTAAGTCAGCTCAGATGTTTACTGCATCTTCCAGGTTTCATCACACTAAAAGAAACAGGAAACCTCAGTGTCTACACAGCGATGGGCTAATATAAATCTCACTTGCTAACAACTGAAAATTGATTGCCAAATTCTGGATTGTACCCGACCCTCTGTTTACTTCTTTGACTGCCTTTCTCTAAAGAAAATTTTTAAAAAAGCATCCAGAAATTTTTAAAGACATTTTTTGAGCATTGGTATAAATTTTACAAAAAAAATATTTTTTAGATGACTCAAGGGTGAATGAATCATCAACAGATGGTTTAAATTTTGCTTTTTTCAAAACATATGCTCACTAATAGTAAATCAGCCAGTTCGGTTGTCTGATTTTTTCACACATTTTAAAATCTGTTTTTAGCATAAATCAGATAAATTTAAGATGTTTCAGTAAAATTAAGATGTTTCATATTTCAGATATTATTATCTGTGACAGATAGTAATTAATTACATTTAAGGGATATAAGTTTTTTAAAAAGCAGGAATATTTTAAAAACATGTTTCGGTTAGAGAACATAATATTTTTGGAAAATCATGTCCTAATAAAATTTCTGGTTTAGATCTGAATATTTTTCTAATTGAGGAAAAATACAGATATGAACTTATACATATTTTGATCACTAATCAGTATTTTATTTTTTATATTTTTTGGTCATGCATAATAAAAACAGCTTAAAGTATCTTGTAAAGAATGTTTGTAATTTTCTAGTAAAAGTAATAATAGGAGGTGCCAAACATTTCCCAAATTAATTTCATAATTATGATATATCTATTAAGTATCTCTAGAGAAACAAAGGAACAGGGCATCAGTATTTTTGTATTATATAAGGAATATATGCATTATTTAAGACATATATCATTTTAAGTAACAGACTCACACATCTTTGGACTGACAAGTCCAAAATCTGTAGGGCAGGCTACTAGGCTGAAAACTCAGACATATTCCTATGTTACAACCATTAGACAGAATTTCTCTTCCTCTAAGAAATCTGCCTTTGCTTTTAAGAGCTTCAGTTGGGGATAAGATCCATCTTTAATTCCAGATTAATCTATTTCACTTAATGTCAACTGATTATAGATTTTAACATCTACAAAATACCTTCTCAGAAACCAGATTAAATATTTAGCTAATACAAACTTTCCACGTTGACATATAAAACATTTGCTTCCTTCTTTCAAACACGTTATATTATGCACTTAAAATATATACATAATATATTATAGACACAGTATATATCTATTAGTTCAACTATTAGATAATATATTAACAATTATTGCTAATACATGCTCATGAATATTAGTTATTCCTGTGCTACAGGTCTGAATATTGATTAATTGATCTAGTGTTTATAAAGCATTTATCGTGTCATAACTTGAGACACAAACACCAAATATGGATTTATACCTACATAGTGCTAAAGTTTAAATTTTATTGAAATGAAACATAAGTATTGAATTTGTGGAGATTAGTAGATTATTGCCAGTTTTGTATTTGAAAAGGAAGTTCTGAAGTAGAAACATTCATTAAACATTATGTGGTTATCTAAGTAAATCATTGTATTACGTTATGTGCCTAATATATTTTGATAGGTTAAAAAAATAAATATCTTTTCTCGAAAGAGTTTATAATTCTGTAAGAATCCATTCACTTTTGAACTCTGGCTCTATGTGGTATAGAATGCATTATGGTAATTTGGAGTTTGGTTTCTTATCAGTGTAATAAGAATTACATAATATTTTAATTTTTTAAATGTTTTGAAATATCATTTTTAAGACTGCATTATAAAATCATTCATCAGTGGGTAGAAAGGATGCATTATTCATAATGGTTTGATTCCAGGAAGGAAATTAGTAATTGATGGTCTGCATTTTAGAACTGAGCTCAAGATATGTTTTTTTAATTGGTAGTTAGAGCTAAATTGCCTTTATTAAACAGTGAAAACTAAGCTCAAAGATAGAGAAAATTATAAATACGTAAGAAATGGAGTGGACAAGAACAAAAAGGTACATTTCAAGGTTATATAACCATTAAATAAACACTATGACAATCAATTAATTATGAACTATATGCATGGGCAAAGTGTCATGTGATATTTGAGGATTTAAAATGCTATTAGGTGCTAAACATTGCTACTCATAGATTGTGGTATGTATCCACATTAAAACCTATGTTTCTGGTTTGACCTTTATATAATATGGAAGTCTGCACTGTACAACATGTGCTATGAGGAAGCAAAGATTTTTCCCTTTCCATAAAGTGATTTGATTTCCTTTGTTGTGCTTATTTTTATTAAAAATATGCAATGAAATGCAATTATCATAATACTCTTAGTCATATACATATTTAATATTTTACAATTTTGAGAAAAATACACTATTTTGTGTATCATTTCTTTCTGAATGAAGTTCAAGCCTTCTTCCCATTCTCTGAATTACCTACAATTTTCTGTGTACGTCAAGGGTTCATGCTTTGTATTTGCTTTCTATTTTCATCTGACGGCAATGGAATGGAATCTTCAGTGGTCACCATTATCCCACCCTTTGTGGACTTAGTCTGTGACTCAGGCCTGAGTTTACTATAACTTATTTTTACAGTGATCCTGGGAAGCAGCCAGCCCACTTGGCAACATTTTCTTCTCACTCAGCTCATTTCAAAATAAAGATTTTCTTTCTCTTCAGAGTATTTCTAGTTTCAACCTGAAACTTTTAAAATAAAATGAATGTTACGCAAATGCCTGAAGTCCTTTTTTCTACTTTGACCTGAAGCTTCATGGAGCATTCTGCTTCACAGTCGTAGTCATAGTTGTTTCTCAGACTAGCAATATTTTCTTAGGCAATTTTGTAGTGCGATGTATTTTATGACAAATATTTTCTTATGCTTCATGGTCATTCATATCAACAAATTTGTATCCCAAATTCATACCTTGTATGATATTTACTAAATTTTTTTGCGATAATCAGTGAAACACAGAGTAAGTTTGGGATTGGGTTCTTTCTTTTCTGATTTTTGATGATGTTTTATGGTTTCATTTTGCTGTTGACTGTATTTCTTTACTTATGTATTTTCATCCTCAATAGTGAATGTTTTACACACGGAATGAATTCATATGTCCTGAATTTTCAACTTACCAATTTCTAGTTTTCCCCCCATCACTTCTTTTGGTGACCTACTAGTTATGTATTCATTTTCACACAGCTAATTCTATGGCCATGTCAGCCATAAAAATAAGTGACAATTAAAAATTATGACCATAAGTGGCAATTAAAAATTGCTTGTTTATAATTATGGCTGATAAGCTGCTGTAGTGTTTCTACATTTGAGTGTGTACCAAAATCAGCTAGAGTTTTGCTTAAAATCTGCCAGACTGCTGGGATCCACTGCAAAATTGTTGATTGAGGAATTCAAGAGTGCGATCTGAGAATCTGAATTATGAATAAGTTCCCTGGCAATAGTGCTGTTGCTTGTCAAGGTAGCATGCTTCAGAAACTCTGACTATAAAACATAAAAATATATTAGATTCTAGTCATATTGTTCAAATAAAACAGCCAGGTGTCATTTGCTGAAGAGGGCACACTTGACACTGTATTTAAGATACAGTTATGACCTTCTCTTTTTAAAATAGGCTTTCTTAAGGCTGAGATCTTGTGTTCTGTAAATAAAAGTTGAATTGAAGAATTGGCTATATTTTTCACAAGTCATGTGGCTCACCAAGGTCAGTTTTGTTTGCTGTATCACTTAAAATACAATTCTCCTTACAACTGCTTGGCATGGCTGACTGCACTTTTTTTTTTATGTTCGTAATACATTTTGACACTGGGAAATAAGAAGCTATGAAAATAAGGTTGATAAACCAGCAAAGAACTTTTTCCCTTAAATGGTCACAATCTGCGAAGAGCTGATAAGAAAAGAATCCTTCGGGACAATGACAAAAAACTTAAAGCCATCAACCCCGTGTCAGCAATAGGCTGGAAAACAAATGGAACTTCAGACAACTCAGAACAAATGCTACAAATCAGAATCCAAATCCAAAACTCCTTTCAACCTTACTCTGCTGAAAGACAATTTAGGTGCACAAAGGACTGTGGAAAACTCCAAGTTGATACTTACATTATGTCTTTACTTTTGACTTTCTTTTTTTCCAGCTGAGGTTAATTTGTCTCAGTGAGTGTTTTCTCATTTTCTCTGTGGCCCCTATCTTACATCTCTAACGTGAGATGCTCAAGAAAAAACTGAGGCAGCGCAAGGGTAAGTTGATTACCGAAATTATCTGTTAATTATGATGCATTAGCATAATTGAAGTAGAGCTTAGAAGATTCGCATTGTGCTTTTATATGGTCTGTTCAAAGAGCTTTAAAGCTGTAAACTGTTATTGGAAATAATATCCGATGAAGTCAAATAGTTAATCATAGACTCATAGTTTAATATTGCAATATGGTTAATTTTTCTCTAATTCTCAGAGCGTTATTTAAAGATATGTATAACTTTTTTGACTTTAAAATATTTCATGAAGATTTTGATGCCAGTACTTAAACAGAAAAATAAAAATGGCAGCCAATAATGAATCATTTGGGGTTGTGATAAAATACTAAAATTTAAAATTAATATTATACTGAAATTGTTTCTATACTATACTAACTAAATACTATACTAAGGTCATTAAATTAATATTATAAATCATACAATTAAGAGAGATGAGATTAAAATCTTATCACTAAATCTCTTAAACTTTAGGCATTATTTTATTCAAGGTCCTCTTCTAAATAACTTATACAGATTATGCAAAATTAAAATTTGTGTTTCCCCTCGAAGCAAACAAAGAGAACAAGCAACAACAACAGCAACAAAACATCAGTGAAGTTGGAGTGCTAGTTCTATTCAGCAGATTCAAACACTTTCCTGAACTGCTATATGTTACTTCCTATACCTGAGCTGCACAGTTTCTTCAATGCCATGAAGTTTTCACTAGCTTACTTTTAGAGAAATGAAACACACAAAGCTCTTGAAAGCGCTAACTCATGCAGGAATGGGATAACACTGAAGCTGAACCCGAAGCCATGCTACTCTAAATAACATTTCCTCACTGCAAGTGCTTTATCAAGTGCTTTGGAGGTCATCAATATGGGAAAACTCTGATTGATAAAAAAAAAAAAAAAAAACAGTAGAAATAACTTTGCAAAGTACTATTTGGATGATCAAAGCTGTTGAATCCTTGAACAATGTGATGTAAACACAGATGTTTATAGCATGAGTATTTTGGAGTAATATAGAAAGATATTTGCCCAATTGACATACAAAGTGAGCAAGCAAACACTACAGCGCTTTGGGGAATTACAAGTGATTAGGAGATTCAGGGTGAGAGCACAGTGACTTTTTTGAGTGTGCAAAGGAAGGAACTGACTCTCTCTATCAAAAGACATGATAATATTGGTTTTGATCATATTTTTAACATCATGTGTTTCCTCTTGTTCTCAATTACAAAATAACATGAATTTGTATTTTTAGTAATTCTCATACTGAATCATTACAATACTAAAATAAGTTTCCTTTAAGAACTGGTAAGGAGATTTGAACATACAAGGATAAAAGTAGCTTCTAGGGAAGAGATCAGAGTGATGTTTCCTGAGGAAAAACATCTCTCTCAGGGTTTCCATGGTGCCAAGGCTCAATTCTCAGTGCTTTGAGAAACTTCAGAACCAAACTGTCAGCTGGTAGACAGTGTAGACTAAACTGAACATAAGCATATAAGGACATTTAAAATTGTTTCAGTGGCCTATGAAAGGAAATAAGGGTAAAAATATGTAGATAGAGTGAAATTGTTCAGTAAAGTAGTAGAGACAATAGCATAACTAGAATGCTGGGATATTGTGTTATTTTTAGAAATACCATAAAACTATCAGAAGGCTAAGTAAAATTACAGTAATGGTAATGTGTTTAACAGAGCTGTAATTTCATAATTCTGAAATCATCTGCTTTTGATTATCGTACATTAGGAAAGATCATTTTAGTTATGACACTATCCAAATATTTGGTTTTACTTGTAACTGAATTAAGAAAAAAATATACTATGTTATTTCATAATTATATAATTAGTATATTTTTGTTAAGATGGAAAGCATTGTAATTGTTGCACAATTTTACAAAGTTATTGTATGTAGCAAATTATAATTCACAGGTACAAATTGTTTTCTTTAAATGAACATTACTATTGTTCTTTAATTTTATCCCCAGAAGTGATCAGAGTATCTCTTCCATCTTTAACTGTAGATTTAATAACTGTAATTTTCTTTTGAAAGAAGCAATGTTAGAGTAATAACCACTGACAGCCGTTCTAAAGCAAACTTTTAGTAATATAGTAATTAGGCAGCATCATTGTTGAGACTCACTGCAAGAAACAAAAGAAAGAGCGAACACTTTTGCATTACAAAGTTTCCCAGTCATTATTATGAAGAAGCAGAGGAGTCAATAAAAGTATTCAATAAACATATAGATGATAAATATTGAGTAAAATTCAGATTTTTATTAATTCATTCTATTTATAGAAACTGACTTTTTCTCATGGAATTTAAATTAGGAATTTATATTATAGAATGAATATTTTGAGGAGATTGTTTAAAGTCTGAAATTTTGACTGTGGATAACAAGAAATACAGTTGATTGAAGCAGAAAAGAGTGAAAGAGAACAACTGAGATGAAAGAAAATGCATTTTGTCCTCTCAAAATGAAGTGATTTCATTTAGAGCCAGTGGGTGGCCTGGTGGTTGCAGTAGACAATGGGTATAATTTACTGCATATAATTTGAGGATTAGCAGAGCAGTGGGTCCCCTGGAAGTTTTATGTAAGATCACATGACACAAAGACTCTTGTAGGACTGTAAGAGAAACCTTTTGACTAAACTACATGAAATTTCAACATCAAAAAGTTGGGGAGAAAATTCTTAGCCAGTATAAGAAATCAGAATGGTAGAAGGAGAGTCAAGATAAGAACATTAACACAAATACAATCTTAAAAGAGAAAGAGGAAGATTGTCATTTCCATTATTAATGTAACAGAAATCTTACGAGAAAACAAAGCAAAACACATTGGATTTGTTCACTGTACTCAGAAAGAGCTGCCACTACTGGACTAGCACAAGCAAAAACAAAGGACCAAGAGAGGGACTGTGATCAGGTGGAAGAAGCCAGTGCAGCTCAGGTATTGCATTCTAATTCAGCACAGTTCACGTGCCCATGAGGAACTAGGTGCAATCCTGATGCAACGTTCAGAAAAATCTCTCACTCTGCAAAGGTCCATGACTGAATAGAAACAAGGATCAGGCCAGTAGTGACTTTAACACATAAAGACATATTGGCTCAGCTTTATCAAAAGTGAAGAGGTTCACTTTTTGCTTCATGACATGAGAATTTAAATAGTATAAAATTAGCTATTTTGTAAAATCCAACGGCGTTTAGCTTAGTCACATTGTTCAAGAACAACAGACAAGAAACGTAGTGTATCTGGAAACATAAAATCGAGCCACATAAAATATAGATCAAACAGAAATGAGGAAAATCAGAAGTTTGGGAAAGATTCCACACTTCGCTGACTGGTTTTGTACGACACACCCAAAGCACCAGTCCACCCAACCCTAACCCTAAATCACAGCAATGATGTCTAGAACCTATAAGCATAAAGACTTTTTGATTGAGAAACTATTGGGTGAAGCCAAAGAACTTTCACTTGGAAATAATAGAGTAGGCCTGGTTAGCTGTTTTGGGACAGAAACAAAGGTAGCAGAGAGATATAGAGAAAGGAAGAGGATCGTAAGGATTGAATAGAAAAGTGCCTAGATGAGAAGAATCAAGCTGCTAGTTGTTTCTGATGGGCAAACTGGGTTGAGTATTTACACTGCTTTCTTTTATTAAAAACCATGACAGCTTGACACAGATCATAATCCTTCTGCTATGAACATGAGATCAGAAATGAAATAAAACATTAAAAATCAGATCTAATCAAACACTAAAGCATAAGTGGAAAGATTCCAAGAGAACAAAGACTAATAAAATCCAGCACAGTGCAGCTGCCAGCGTCATGGCCAGTACTGATCTTTACCCTGATTCAGGTCTTGAAAGGCTGAGATTCCTGCTTGTAAACCACACAGGAAGTCAAGAGAGACGGCTACAGGCAGTTGCAGGTGAATAAACTGAATTTGCTAATCCTGCATAAAAACATGCACGAAAATATTTTCATAGAAATTTTCCATTCAAGAAACATGAACTAGGAAAACTACACACAAAGATATGCATCTTTGCACTTTCTGTTTTGTGTAGAGATGAAGGTAGGAAGCAACAATGGAAAATTCTGGTCTGTGGAGCCCAACTATGGTCTAAATATGAGTTTCAAATTAGCAGAACTGCTGAAAAATCCACCCTAGACTATTGGAATCCATGAAAGCTAATCACAATTTAAGAAACTGAAAGAGTAAACTCAGAGATTACAAAAACTTTGTTATTAAATGCAATTAAAAATGAGTCTCTGAGACTACTACCAAATAAATAGGATTAGGACTGATCAGAGGGAATCTTCTAAAGAAGTTTCTGAGAAATCCCATGATACACTCTCTGTAAGCTAGTGACCCAGGGAAGTCCAAGGTGTAATTTAGTCTCTGAAGGCTGGAGAATCAGGCATGCCTATGGTGTAAATTGGCACTCGAGAAAAGACCAAGATATTCTGGCCCAATTAAAGAGAAAAAAGTGTTGAATTTCTCCTTCCTCCAACTGATGTTCTGTGCAAAGTCAGAAGGAACTGGGTGATGGTCAGCCATATCTGGGAGGAGGGTTGTTTGTTTTGTTGAGTTTCTCAATTCCAATGTGAGTCTCACCAAGGAATCCCTCACAGACAATAGGAACCACAGTTTAACCTGGTCATTCAATGATTCGTTCTCTTTGACACAAGCAACCTTCATTTATACTCAATGAATAGACCAAGAAGATTAGAAAAATCTAGACAGAAATTGATGAATTGGGAGATGTATTGAAGGAGACTACACAGTAGGACACGCAGAAACGGCAGCAAGTAATGATATGAGTGGTAAGCAGCAAAAGGGATCTTATGAGAAGTTTATGATATTCAGCCCTTTAACTTGGGAAGTGATTAGATGATCACACTCCACTTTGTAAAATTTCTTAGAGCTCCATAAGTAAGAATGCTCACTTCCAGAAAGCAGTAAAAAGCTATTAAGCAGAAAAACAAAAAGGAAATGTGATTTA